CAAGCTCTCGATCCTTGTGGCTCTTACAGTCTAGTAGAGGGAATTATAATAATCAAGTAAAGAAATACTCAAGATTGTTACAGATGTGATAAAAGATACGAAGGAAAAGGACAGGGTGGCATAATAGAGTGAGCTGCTTACATGACATTGAGGTAAGATCTGAAGAATGAGAATGAGCAAACCCTGGGAAGAGCTGGTCACAGCACCAGGGAGAGGGAACACTGAGCACAGGGTCTGGAGATGGGAGAGACTGTGTTTCAGGAACAAAGAGTAGCACAGTGTCCAAGAGGGTGTGGTGCAAGGTGAGGTCAGAGAGGCAGGCAGAGACCAGACCGCATGCGCCTTAGGGGTCGTGATAAGGAATTTTAGATTTTATTCTAATCAGAGTGGGAAGTCAATGAAAATGGTTAAGACTTGTTTGGTATTCGTGTTGTTAAAGGATCGGGCTGCTTCCTGATTGGTGAAGGGAGGATAGGAAGCAAGGGTGAAAGCGGGGAGGCCAGGGTTATTGTGGGTATTACCTACAATTACAAGTTGTAGGTAAGACTTACAATAATGAGCACAACCCTTTACATAATGAGCACAGACCCTGACACATAGTAGTTCTCTCGGAATGTCCATTAGCTACTGTTCTGGAAGGTCTAAGCCTGTCCCATCTAATGCAGTAGACACCAGCTTTATACAGCTATTGAGCATTTAAAATGTAAGTAGTGCAACCATGGACTTAAACTTACCATTTTATTTAATTTTAATTAAGTTAGACTTACATTTAGCCCTGGCTGGTGTGGTTCGGTTGGTTGGGCATCCTCTTGTGCACGGAAAGGTTGCCTGTTCGATCCCGGTCAGGGCACATGGCTGAGTTGCGGGTTCCATCTCTAGTAGGGGGCATGCAAGAGGCATCGATTGATGTTGCATCAATGTTTCTCTCTCTAAAATTCAATAAAATAATATTTTAAAAATAAACACATTTAAAAACTAATATTTGATTCAGTCATTGGGAAGTATATTTTTTAAAACCTGGATATATGAATCTACTTTTCTAACTATAAATGTTATGAAATCTGAATATAGATTTAAGTATTTTCAATGAAAACTTAATGTCCAGGTTGAGATAACAGTAAAATACACACATGATCCCAATGACTTAGTATGAAAAAGAGAATGTAAAATATTCTGTTAATTTTCATGTTAATTACATGTTTAAATAATAATATTTTGGACATATTGGGTTAAATAAAACATTATTTAAATTAATTTTTCTTCTCTTACTGTTTTTAATGCTGCTACTAGAGACTTGAAATTACATCTATGACTCATATCTTATTGCTAGTGAACATGCTAATCTAGGGGAAAACAGAAATATAGATATTTAAATGCTCAGAATGTTAACTCTTGATTGTGTCTCCTATGAGAAATCTCAGTTTGAGGATTGGAACTGGAAAAGAATAAAGAGCAATAGCATCTTTGAGAAGTGCTATACAGGCTCTCCATCTAAATTATGTATTTTACATACATCTCACCCTTGAGGAACCTTTTGGCATCCCTGACTGTTGCTGGATTTGGACCTGCTATGGCAAGTTCAGGTACCCCAATTCTGGGGGAAGATGAAGAATGGTCTCAGAGTATAAAGCTTTATTCCCAAAGCCAGGCTCAGTAAGCCTCGTGGTATTAATATATCCACTTTGGGCACTGAAAGGACTGAGCCAGTAAAGCATAGATTTATTAAATCTCTATCCAGGGAGCATAAAAGCATAGAACCTCCCAATAGTTTAGCACAGTGTGGGCGTAATAAGTCACTGGGGAGGCAGGAATGATTTCCATGTCTGCCTGCAGATTCTCTACAAAACAATTTCTTTCCAGTTAAAGTGTGTGCCAGGTTTAGGTTCATTATCCCACTTAAGCCTCATGAAACCTTACGAAGGAGACATCAAGGTTCAGTGACTTGTCCGAGATCAGATCACACAGCCGCTAAAAGGCAGAGCAAACTCAGGCCGTCTGATTGCAGCACCTTCACTCTTAACCCCCATACTGGGCAGCAATCCTATTGTCTTGCCGTGACACAAAGGACCACCTTGCATATAAGGCTCCTTCTCCTGTATCCTCCATCACTTTCCGCCATGCTGACACTTGCTCACTTCTCCCTAGTCCCTGCCCTGCTCCCAGGAGAGCTGGCCACAGACCAAGAGGGCAGCCCCTTACTGACTGTAACACTAAGAAATCACCCGCTGCTCGCCCAGAAAGAAAAGCAAAGAGAAAATGGCTCCTTCACTACCCTCCTGATTTATTGCTGTACCCACCACAGGGTCTAACATGGTGCCTAGCATTCATTCATTCCTTATTCATTCATGTTCAGCTTCCTCCTTCTTTCCACAAACTTAGGTGCTCAGTCTCCTGTCTTGGGGGATGTGAATGAAAGCTGCACAAATATTATCACTATTAATAATATTGTTAATTATCATTAGTAGCACTAATAATAGTTAAATTCCTATCACTATTAATAATTGATCATAATGGTGGTGATACTGTGAGGCCTTCGTGAGTAATAAAGATTACAGTAACAGCAAACGTTTATTAACCACTTACTGTGCTAAGTGGTGTTAATAGGGAAACATTTTTTTTTCTTTTTTAAGCACTTTCCTTTCTGTGTTTTAGATAAGCCATGAAACCATTTACAAGAATCCTATAAGGTAATTCCAGAAGTCTCAAAATCTCTTTATGCAACTCACCAGAGCACTGAATGGACAGTGTTCGGACCATAATTCCTGAAAGATCATTCATCCATGGGCTAAGAGGAAGTTCACTGACAACTTGCAACTGTAAACAAGACACACAAGGTCTCTACCCTGGGGAATAACCCCAGAACTGCCCTTTCGATGAGAAGCCTTTCTTCCTTTTCGAGTGGCCATGAGTGCTAAGAGACGAAATCGCCTCGGTCCCAGGAACTGACAGGTGGGCTTCCATCTGTAAAACTATGGGTCTTGCTTTATGTTCTATACCAGTGGTTCTCAACCTTGGCTGCACATTAGAATCTTGCTTTATGTTCTATACCAGTGGTTCTCAACCTTGGCTGCACATTAGAATCACCTGGGAATCTTTTTAAAATCCTGATTTCTGATGAGGCCCAGAAATTTCTGATGAGGCCCAGAAATCAGGATTTTAAAAAGATTCCCAGGTGATTGTAATGTGCAGCCAAGGTTGAGAACCACTGTTATACTTTAGCATCATTCACCTACTTATTGTTCAAATGAAAAGCAAATGGAGACCAGCCTTGAGAGTTCCCTGAGCAGATAAAACCAGTTTAGTCATTAATTTAGCTTATTGCTAATCGCTGCGGAGAAAAAACAGTCGCTGCTTCCTCGTTCGCTATATAAGCTGCTTCATAAGAATGGATCATCCCTGCGCCTCATTCTGTGTTTTGGTTTGAGTGCGTCTGGTGTGTGCACGATAAATTTTTACTAATTTCTACTTCAGTGATTCATGGGTTTTACTTTGGCTATTTCTGAACCTTTGACATTTCATGGCACCTGAAAAGGGACCCAAAGAAGACGAACCTCAGCAACCCAGAGGCCGGTGAGCAACCAGGTGCTGGTACCCACAGAGCTCTTTGCGCTGGCTACTTTCTCGTGGAGTTTTTGGGTGTTTCTTGGATCCAGACTCCCCTCTGTCTGCCTTCTGAGCTTCTAACTGTATTGTGCACACTTACTTTCTGTTTCTGTTTTGTTTTCTGGTATCTGTTTCTGTTGAAGTTTCTAGGCAAGTCACCCATCCTGTTCAAAAGAGGGGAACCGTTGCTTGTGTCTCCTCCATGCCCAGCATTTGGGACAGCTGTAGGTAAGACGCGTTAGGGGATCCAAAAATAAGATAGGTCCCCCCTTGTTCTTGGACCAGCCTCTTACGCCTTTCTGGACACATGGATGAACTTTTGGATATTATTTATTTTGCTCCTAAATTCACCAAAATTTAATTAACTGCACTTCTTATAAGTCATAAGAGGACTAACCACTTATATTTAACGAAGTTCCTGCTATATTTAAAAATTAAAAATATTGGTTTCAAATTTTTTATACATTTTTTAATGTTTCCGTTTGGTATATTAAAGCTTTTGACTTGCATAAAAATAGAACTGTATGAATAACCTCACGTAGACATAAATTCAAAAAACAAGTTTGCTTTCTTCCGGAAACAGCCCCTCCAGCTCTCTCTGCAACGAACTGCAGAAACTTACTTAGTCCTCTGCTGCCACTGCCGGCTACTGTCTGGCTATCTTACGGGAACCTCACCCCTGAGCTCCCGGGCAAGGGCTGGTGTCTGGTGAGCACTGCTTGGATGAACGGGTAGGTCAGCAGTGCCGTGTGGTTCCAGGACCTCATCACACTCTTACATATTACTGAGAAGCACAGAGAGCTTTTGTTTATGTGGGCTACGCCTATCAATATTCACCGTATTAGAAATTAAAACTTAAATGAGTCAGTAAATACTACAGTGTTTTAAAGTTAACTCTACACCCATTATACGCTAACTTTAAATAATCTTTTTATAAATAACTATTTTCCAAAACAAACTACATGTAGTGAAAAGAGGAGCATTGTTTTCCATGCTTGCAAATCTTTGGCTTTAATAGAAGTCAGCTGGTTCTCATAGCGCTGTCTGCACCCAGTCCGCTGAGCCTCTGGAAAACTCCACCAGGGACTATGGGGAAGGCAAGTAACAGTATTAGTATGAACACTGTTTTGATATAGCGGGGCCTGGAAAGGCACACTTTGAAGACCATTAGAGGGAAGACTTTGCTTTTGGATAAGGTTTATGCTTCAGGATTCCTCCTACACGGCTAGCGTGAGGTCAGTCAGGTGAAGGAGGGAGCGGAACGCCACAGAGACAGCCTTTTTCCCTTTGTGCTGACGCGGAGTCTTGCCGTAACACAAGATGGCCGCCGCCACTGGTGCTCCGTGCCGTACAATGACGTTACATCGCGCCGTTCCACTACATTTCCCAGAATGCTCTACCAACAGCGACGCCATTGGCCGGCGCCGACGGAAGTGTACTTGACTAAGCGGAAGTAGAGGGTCTCGCCGGCTGGGAAGGTGAGGAGGGGAGCTGTGAGGCGGTGAGTAACCGGCTGGGTGTTTTTAGTTGTCGGTGAGGGACGCAGCCGGGGGACGAACCGTCGGGAAGGGCGGCGTGGCCCCTTCTTGAAACTGGGGCCTCAGACTCCTGCGTCCTTCCGGTAGACCTGGGAGCGGGGAGACCGGAGCACTGCTGTGGCGGCGCCGTCTCCCTGTTCGGATAGTGCTGTTATTTTAAGTTTGCTCGGGACGAGCGGGGGCGAATTCGGGCTCTCGTCGCGACCCAAGGGTCGTTGGTGTAATTTTGCTGCTACCGAAAGGGTGGGGCTGCGACGCCTGTCTGACTCAGCTTCTCCCGCAGTGGTTCTCAGTGGGCTGCACATTGGAATCACCGGGGACGTCTTTTTAAAATGACAGATGCCCTAACCCAGCGACACCGATAAATCAGAATCTGTGGGGTGTAAAAGCTGGACTAAAGCGCCCCAGGTGTTACGCTGTGCCCCAGGGTTGAGAACCGTTCTTATTTAGTGCCTGATTTTGACCCTCACGGGGACCCTCATTTGGACCACCTGGGCCAGGGCCCCCCCTTCCACGGTAACCTGCACGGGTTCTGACTCTCGGATTGGGGTGAAGTTGGTGATCAGTTTGCATTTTGAGTTCCACCAGAAACTTACTCTTTTGGGGAGAAAACAAAATTTATGGGGCGCGAGGGGAACCAAGCTTGGGGGGCATATACAGACTTCCTGCTGCAAGGGAGGGGCCCAAAGTGGGTTACCCCAGAAACTTGTTCTTGACCTTCGTGTGGTGGTGCTGGAAAGACAGGGTGTAGTTTCTTATTTAGGGCCTGGGTTTTCATTCTGAATAACCTTCGGGTGACTTCATTTATCTTGCCATTGTTTTAGCTTCTGCCTTTCTTTTGCTATTGGACAACCACCGAGCATTGGAAAGTAGAAGTCACATTCAAATAGGTCCCTATTGTTGCTTATAAGAAGTTCTGAAAGGGATATCAGTTAAAATGGTATTTGGCATTATTCATGGGCTCCTGATACTCTGTTTATATATAATAAATTATAACAAAAGGAAGCTAGAGTGTGTTTTGAGCTTTGATGGAGAAGTTTGCTCGGGTGTGAGAGGATCGTGTTTGAATATAAGCACCATTGCCCAACGTGTGTTCCGTTTTTCCAGAACCAGCTTCACCTCCCTCACTGGTTCAGCATGGGGGAGAAGTCAGAAAACTGTGGGGTTCCAGAGGACCTGTTCAGTGGTTTGCGAGTTTCAGATCCCCAGGAAGCAGAATGTGCTGGTCCTTCAGTTTCTAATCCCAAAGATCACCAGCCCCAGAGCAAGCTGCTCAAGGAGGTGGAGGCCCACCCCCAGGAGGACCAGGGCGAAGAGGAGCACTTTCACGACTGCAGCGCCTCATTTGAGAAGGAGGAGCCAGGAGTGGACAAGGTTGAGAACAAACCTGAGGATGATGTGAATTCCTCCGAACTCGACGAAGAATACCTAATAGAACTGGAAAAAAACATGCCAGATGAAGAGAAACAGGTAAGTATTTTACTAACTGTGCATGATCTGCCACCTAAAGTGCTTTTTAAAGTGAATAAATGGGGCTGACGCTGTGTCAAACACCGCTGTGGTTAAGAATAACTTGCCCATCTGTGTCTTTATTGCTTTAGTAGTGATGCATCTGAGATAAATCAGTAGCATGACAGGGAAGCATAGAGGGTGTCTGCTTAGCAAAAAATTGTATTTTTTTCCTGTGACCTTTGATTTCTTATATTCATCTTGTATAATTATTTTCTAACCTTTTAGTTTTTGGGAGGACCTTATCTATAGTTGGCTGCTGAAATTCTTGGAATGGACATTGTTAGATTTTAAAATTATGGAATGCTACTTATTTATATTAGTACCTTGTTAGCAAAAAATGACTGCCTGAATATCCTGGTGGTGGTTCGGTTACAGAGGGGAGTTTCTGGGGCCTGTATCATTTACATAGTGTTCTCAAGAAACGGAATTGTGTATGATAGTAGCTATAATGATAGTAGCTATAATTTGTTAAGCATCTATAATGTGCCAGCTGCTGAGCTAAAAATGTTACTTGTGTTTTCATTTAATCTTCACAACACACCTTATGAAACAAATACTGTTAGCATCCTTTGTAAGAGAACCGAGTTCAGAGTGGTAAAGTAACTGGCCCAAGATCACCCAGCTAACAAATGGCAGAATTGATTCTCAAACCCAGATCTGTTTGATGCCAAAGAAAATATAATATAGAATTTAATAACAAAATTAGCTGTTTTCTTACAAAGCCAATACACTAATAAAATGTACACCTTCCTGCTTCTTTGCCTCTGGGCCCCCTCCTCTTGGTGTCCTCCATATATCCTTCTGATCTCATGAGCAAGGTCCTTTGAAGAGTTACCATAATATCTGAGCTTGGGAACAGATAAGGAGATATATGTAATATTTTTAAACAGGAAAGAATTTAAACTTAAAAAAAATATCTGAGTTTGTCTGCACAGAACTTGAACAAGACTTGCAATTTAGCCTTGGCCAATGTGGCTCAGTGGTAGAGCATCGATTCTCTGTCAAGGGCATGTACCTGGGTTGTAGGTTCATTCCCTGGCTTTGGTGTGCGGTAGGCAGCTAGGCATGTGGGAGGGAACCAATCCATGTGTCTATCTTACATCAGTGCTTCTCTCCCCCCCCCCCCCTCCTATCTTCTCCCCCTCTCCCTTCCACTCTCTCTAAAAATCAATGGAAAAATTATCCTCGGGTGCGGATTAACAACAACAAAAGACCTGTAGTTTAGCCTCTGAGGAGCTCACTTGCTGAACAGGTTATGATAGATTGGTAATGGGCCGAGATATTAAATCTATTGGTTTTAATATGCATGTGTTAGCTTTTGTGCTAGTGTATGCCACCAGTAGAGGAGGATAAAGGGCAAAAATGAGTCAAGTTCATAAACTACCTCAGCAGAAATGACTCGGAAAATTAAATCAAGTACTATTTGATGACATTAGGGAAATGATTTTCCAGAAAGTGAATGCTTGGTTCATTTTCCATATCACTGGTATAGACTTTAGAAAAATATGTATGTTTAAATGGTAGCAATTTTCTGATGCCTTAATATAATTTGCCCTGATATTACAGTGAATTTTCTAGTGTTGTTGGTTTGACAGTTGAGTGGTTTGGCTCAAGTGTTATACATAGTCTGCACCCCATTTCCAATTTGCAAAACTTTTTGTCTCTCCTGGCCAGGAAATCACATTTTAAGTTCTAGAAATATTTAAAATTTTTATTGCCTATCAATTATATATTCTAAACAGCACATACTTTTTAAACTTTAAAAAATTCAATATAATTTACATATAGTGAAACTGTTTATGTTCTATCCTGTACAGTTCATTGAGGTTTTTTTTAAATATATTTTTTATTGATTAAGATATTACATATGTGTCCTTATCCCCACGTTACCCTCCCCCGCCCCCGCTCATGCCCTCACCCCCCCCCCCTGTTGTCCGTGTCCATTGGTTAGGCCTATATGCTTGCATATAAGTCCTTTGGTTGATCTTTCCCCCTTACCCCCACCCTCCCCTACCTTCCCTCCAAGGCCCGACAGTCCAATCAATGCCTCTCCGTCTCTGGATCAGTCCTTGTTCATCAGTTTATGTTGTTCATTATATTCCACAAATGAGTGAGATCATGTGGTATTTATCCGCTCTCCAGTTCCATCCATGCTGTGACAAATGGTAAGAGTTCCTTTTTCTTTTTCCTCTTCTTAAAGAATACCTTTCAGCATTTCATATAATGCTGGTTTGGTGGTGATGAACTCCTTTAGCTTTTTCTTATCTGTGAAGCTCTTTATCTGACCTTCTATTCTGAATGATAGCTTTGCTGGATAAAGTAATCTTGGTTGTAGGTTCTTGGCATTCATCACTTTGAATATTTCTTGCCACTCTCTTCTGGCTTGCATGGTTTATGTTGAGAAATCAGCTGACAGTGGTATGGGTACTCCCTTGTAGGTAACTGACTGTCTTTCTCTTGCTGCTTTTAAGATTAGCTCTTTGTCTTTTGCTCTTGGCATTTTAATTATGATGTGTCTTGGTGTGGTCCTCTTTGGGTTCCTTTTGTTTGGGGTTCTCTGCGCTTCCTGGACTTGTAAGTCTATTTCTTTGACCAGGTAGGGGAAGTTTTCTGTCATTATTTCTTCAAATAGGTTTTCAATATCTTGCCCTCTCTCTTCTTCTGGTACCCCTATAATTCTGATGTTGGTACGCTTGAAGTTGTCCCAGAGGCTCCTTACACTATCTTCATATTTTTGGAATCTTTTTTCTTTTTTCTTTTTCGGTTGGGTCTTTTTTGTTTCTTTGTATTTCAAATCTTTGACTTGATTCTTGGGATCCTCTTGTCTGCTGTTGGATCTCTGTATATTATTCTTTATTTCAGTCAGTGTATGCTTAATTTCTAGTTGGTCCTTTTTCATATCCTCGAGAGTCTCACTAAATTTATCGGCAGTTTCCATAAAATTCTTGAAAAACCTTATAAACGTGGCCTTGAACTCTATATCCAGTCGTTTGCTTTCCTCCATTTCTGTCATTTGTGACCTGTTTCTTTGTCTCCGCATTTTTTATGCTTCCCTGTGTTGGTAGAGTGGTTTTGTGTGCTAGGTGTCCAATGGGGCCCAGTGGCTCAGCCTCCCCAATGACCTGAGGTGGACACTCTTGGTGCACCCATTTGTGGGCTTTGTGCACAGTCTTGTTGTAGTTAAGCCTTGATTGTTGTAGGATCACTGGGAGGAATTGACCTCCAGGCCAATTGGCAGTGAGAATCAGCTGTGTCTGCAGTTGGGAGAACTTCTGTGCTGAAGACACCCTTCTGGGGCAAGACTTGCGTCAGTGGGGATTTGGTGCTCACTGAGTCTGCACCCTGAGTGTGTCCCTTATGGATCTGAGGAGTTGTAATATGGATGGTCCCCCTCTGACCACTGGGTACACTGGCTCTTGGATCTAAGGAGGTGCTAATTTAGCCTCTGCCTGAGGTTACACAGCAGGAGCTACGAAGAGAACTGCAGATTCCCCTTCCTTTTTTGGAGTTTGGAGGTACCCTGATGAGGCCCAGCTGTGAAGCAATGCAAGCTGCTGTGGGGCCTTGGGCCTTCTCTTGGAAGTTCTGGGTCTGTCTGGCCCAGCTGCAGTTAGGTAATTTTCAGGTTGCAAAGGGCCGGGGCATTCATATGCAAAAGCCTCTGCCGCAGCCTGGGTGCGGCGGGGTCTCAGGGAATCAAAGGACGGAGCAAGCAGCTATGGCGGATTCTCAGCCCTGCCCTAAGGGGCCGCGCGTCTCAGTGTCCTGGTAATTGCTGCAGGCACCTCTGAGGTTGCCGACCTCAAGTTCCGAGTTCTGCCCGCTGCCAGACAGTCCAGTTTCTCCCCGTATGAGTCCTGGGTCCCCAGAGACTTCCCGGAACCGGAGTTCAGAGCAGTCGGGAGCTTGTGACTCCCTCCCGATTTAAAAAGACAGCCGCGTCCTCACGTACCAGCCCCTTTCCGCGTGCGCAAGCCTCCGTACCTCTGCACTTTACTTCCGCAGCTCCTCTGGCTCTCAGTGTGCTTTTCTTTCCTTCTAGTTGTAGAATTTCCACTCAGCCAGCTTTCCTGTAGTTCTGGATGCTGTTCATTTTGTCTTTATGTTGTTTTTTTTGAAGTTGTTGTGGGAGGCAGCAATTTCCCGGTGTTTATCTATGCCGCCATCTTAGTTTCTCCCCCAGTTCATTGAGTTTTGACAGCTGTATGTAACTCACACCCCTATTAAGAAAGAGAACATTTTTGCCTTGCTGGTGTTGCTCAGTGGTTGAGTGTTGATCTATACACTAGGACAGTGATGGCGAACCTTTTGAGCTTGGCGTGTCAGCATTTTGAAAAACCCTAACTTAACTCTGGTGCCGTGTCACATATAGAAATTTTTTGATATTTGCAACCATAGTAAAACAAAGACTTATATTTTTGATATTTATTTTATATATTTAAATGCCATTTAACAAAGAAAAATCAACCAAAAAAATGAGTTCACCATCACTGCACTAGGAGGTCCCTGGTTCCATTCCTGGTCTGGGAATGCCCAAGTTGCAGGCTCAATCCCCGGCCAGGGGTGTGGGGGAGGCAGCTGATCAATGTTTCTATCTTTCTCTCCCTCTCCCTTTCTCTATCAAAATCAATAAAAACATTTTTTTAAAAAAGAACATTTCCATTATGACAGAAACTCCCTTTATGTCCTTGACCATTCATTCCTTCTCCCAACCCCCCCAACCAGGGGAACCACTGTTCTGGTTCCTATCCCATGGGTTGGTTTTTCCTGTTCCAGAGTTTTGTATAAATATAATCACTTTTAAAAAACAAACATTTTATATACTTTATATATCATCCCATATGTTTTCATAGCTTAATTTGAAAGTTTATAACAATATCTCCTAGAAATAATATGCTAGTGATAGCCATTATTTTATAGAAATGTAAACCATTAACTTCACTGTAAGAAAACAACCT